AATTGTTATCGTCATCATTATAATTAGCATTAGCATTATTAACATCACCATTATTATTATCATGATTGCCATTATCATTATCATTAACGTTATCATTATTACTATCATCATTATTATTATAGTTATCATTATCGCTGTCATTATTGTTATTATTATTATTATCATAATTATTATTGTTTTTGTTGCTATTATCATCATTATCATCATCATCATCATCATCATCATCATCACCATCACTATTATCATTATCATCTTCATCATCATCATCATCATCATAGTGAATATTATCATTGTGATTGCTATTATCACTATTATTGTCATTATTATTATTATTATTATTATTATTATTATTATTGTCATTATCATTATTATTATTATCATTATCATTATTATTATTATCATTATTATTATTGTTTTTATTATTATTATTATTATTATTATTATTATTATTTTTATTATTATTATCATTATCATCATCATTATTATTATTTCTACCAGTATTATTGTTATTATTATTTTCATTGTCATCATCATTATCAATACTACTATTACTGCCACTGTTACTACCACAAAGGATGAAATAATCAACATACTTTTTAATAATTACGAAGAATACCATCATTAAAAATAATTATCAGTACCATTATTGATACCAATACTGGAAATGGAAGTTGAAGAGCATCAGTTGTTGTTGCAAAAGTAGCAGTAGCAGCAGCCTTGATAATTGTTGCAGAAATAGGAGGAATTGTAGAAGCAGTATTAATAGCTGCAGTTGCTTTCATCTTGTGTTTCTGTAAAATGTATACTCATCTTTGAAACAGATGTTGGTAAACTTAAAGATGAGACGAACTTTTGAAAGATATAAAAGTAAATTTCTAATCAGGAGAGAGTGACTCCTGGTTTCAATCACAGGTAATAAAAAGGAAAATGTCACATGGAATTGCGGCCTAAATTTTATATTCCTTTTAGAAAATGAATGACTGGGAAAATGGGGAGATTTAATTTTTGGAAAAACATCATCGTCCACGCAAAAGCACACACACACACACACACACACATACACACGCACACAACACACACACACACACATACACACACACACATACACACACACACACACAAACACCCCCTCCACACATACACCTCCGCCTTCCCACAAACAGACCTACGGACCCCCCCCCCCCCCCCACCACATACACGCCCCCCACCACCACAAACAGACCTACGGACCCCTCCCCCCCCACCACATATCCCCCCCCTCCACCACCACACCCCACACACACACAAGGCACTCCAGACGCCGACAGCAAAATGCTAACTCCCCCTCCCCCCCTTCCCCTCCCCAGACTCCCCCGTGTGCTCCGACGACTCCAGCCCCTCCAAGGTGTACGCCACGGGACTCGGCCAGGGCATCAACGTGACTTGTACCGTCAAGGCCTCCCCGAACGCGGCCGAGTACGCGTGGGTGTTCAACAATTCCGTCACGTCGGACAGGATATCTGGGGATCGGGTCTTTAAAACGCCAGGTAAATACAAGGCTGTCTTTTTCGTTGGGTTGCGGTGGAGAGATCGGCATTTTTTTAGGGGTGGGTGGGGTGATGGTTGGCCAGCCGTTCTGTTTTTTTTTTTTTTTTTTTTTTTTTTTTGTACATTTTCACTTTCTTTTCTCTCCCTTTCTTTAGGGGCTCACAGGCTGTCTTATAAGTTGCTTCAAGGATGGATGTGAGGTTTTACTTAGACTGACGATTTGTAGAGCGTTGATTTGGCAGACAGTGTTGATGGAGAAATAATTTGAAAAAAAAAATATATATATATATAAATGATATAAAAGAAAATAACTACCCTGAATTTTTAAAATCCGTTCTTTCCTTACACTCTACGTCCACGGACACAACTGCCTCTCCAGCAACCCGTTCCCTAATGCCCCAGCCTGTTCTCGTTGCAGAGGGCGGCAGCATGGTGAGATTCATCGCCAAGGTCCACCAGGACTACGGGACGCTCCAGTGCTGGGCCCAGAACAGCGTCGGCCGCATGACGCAGCCCTGCCTCTTCCACGTCGTCCCCGCCGGTCAGTCGCCCTCGCGCCCGGAGGCTCCCCTTGCCTCGGCCTTCTGTCTCAGTTTCTTTAAAGCCTTCAGTTTTGGGATGCCACGCATGTGCATCCATATGCGCATATATACATACATGCACGTGTGTGTATCTATCTATCTATCTATCTATCTATCTATATATATGTATATGTATACATATGTGTGTGTGTGTGTGTGTTTGTGAGTGTGTAGCTAGATAGGTAGATACACAGATAGACAGATATACACATATATACTCGTACACATAGTGTATCTTGTCCGCACACACACATACTTGCGTTTGGGGGGTCTTGATCACTCTCACTACATGTACATACCTTTTTACAATCTAATCTTTCGGACAAACCTTTCCCCTCTTTCAGATCTTCACCGACTCACGCCACTTTTCCCAGTCGTGATGTTCTCTTTCG